CGCAGCTACGTGGTGGCTAGGATTAAAGCATCACATCTCCACTTGGAACGAAGCCAAAGAAAATTTAATATATGCATATGGCACCCGCCTTCCACCACATAGAATATATTTGGAAATATTTGCTTCCCCGCAGGATAACGAAAACACAGACAAGTTTGTTGCTCGTATTCGTGCGCTTATGGCAAAGCTACCGCGGGATGATATTACTGAAAAAGTACAACTTGATATGATATACGGGTTGCTTCATAATAGAATACGCACAAGATTGCGCCGTGAAGAAATCACATCTTTCAATTCATTATTAAACCATGCTCGGAATATAGAAGATTCGATAGAGGAGACTCAATCGAGACCAGTGTCGTCCACTAGTGGTGTGCGTTCGATCCGTGCCCAGCCGGAGGCTGCACGTCAGCAGACAAAAGCATGGCTAGGCCTCGTATGATGTTAGCGTCAGATACTTGAACGCATTCTGTATAACTTTCAATTGCATCTATAAAGGCCTCAACAGATTCACCAGGTGCACCGCTGAAAGAAGCTCTGCAACGCGCCAAGGTACCATCTACGTTCACTGGGGGCATCGGCGGAGGTGCCGGAGTCGACGATCTTTGTTCCATCACGTACGACATAATGTTCTTAAATGTTTCGGCCTGCGAACGTTGCAGCGAGGCCATCAACGCTGAAACATCATCCAAGTTGAACGTAGAATTGTTGCTACGTGATTCGGCGTGGGGGCGATCATGGGGGCTATCATGCTCCTCGTGATTTTCGTTGGCATTTGCATCTGCAGCAGGAATAACATCGTCTTCGCGACGTTGCTGGCGATCTTGATTTCTAGTTAAAGGCATTCTTTACAATTAAGCACCAACAGCATACAATAGTTAGCAAATTTTTCACAAAAGCGTGCGCGCCATTTTGTTAGTCCAAGCAAGAAAAAAATTAGGAAACGTTGGGCAGCCAGATATAGTGAGGGGTAGATCTCAGGGGTATTTAAAACTATGGGTTAGTCACCAATATCGAATTTCGAATTTTAATCTTCCTTTATCACAAACAATTTTCAATTTTAAACAATAATTACATTTAGACGCGGGCGCACGCTATTCACACTCAAAACGGAAGCGCCCGGAACATAGATTATACACTGTTGAAAAGATCGACATAGATGCTAACTATGTATAGCGAGCGGGCATACGGCCGCGAGAGTGACGTACCGGTCGGTTTGCTACACAATCTTTGGAAAGTAGTTTCAAAGCTTGTAAATATGTGTCAATACTTTCTTCTGGTCGTTGTTTCCTTGTTGCTAACATATGTCTAGCAAAAATCAGATTTTTTGGTTTTACATACAGTTTTTGCAGTATTGTGATCGCTTCTTCGTAGTTCGTAGCTTCGCTTATATATGTGTAGATATTTGGTGATATATGGTTTACCAAAAGTTGAAACTTTATGCTGTCCCATTTTTCTGGCGGACGAACCGACTGTGCATCTGTTTCTGGAGCGGTCGGCTTCTGCACGAAAATGAAGTTTTCGAAAGTTTTACGCCAATGTATCCAAGCTTTCGTACTAGAGCTATCTGACGGGTCGATATCAAACCTTTCAGGGCGGAGATATCTATCCATTTTTTATTTATTTAGCTTATTAAATTGAAATAAGAGAAAACCTTTACTGAATATAAGGTTTTAATAAGCTAAAATTAACAGTAAAATATGCTTTGATTACATTAGATACATTGACAAATAACGAATAAAACAGATTGACAATGACGTCAACTTATGGCTGATAATTTCAACTAAGAAGTTTACATCAGAATTATTGATAGTTCTATAGAATTAATAATCGAAGTCATGCCCAACGTTTATGTTCCATTTTCTCACATTTGTTGCAGATACTAATTGTTTAAGCCTAAGGTACCACTAAATCAACAAAATAAATGAATTCACACAACTTGACACTTACCTTTATCGGCAAAAAGTTTTATAATTGCAACTTTCATTGTGCTACACGCCACATTTATTCATGCCGCACAAATATTTTAACTGAACTTATAGTGGTGAAATTTATTTTCAATGGCCATCAATACCCTTTTAAAGCTTTAATGTGACAGTTTATATGTTTTTGTTTCCAATGTCACAATATGTAGGTAGTTTAGAGAAGCTTTGCCATCAGAAACTTGTCACTGTCATATTAGACTTTTTGGCGGGAACGCGAGGAACGAAGTTGTGTGAATTGTTTTATTTTGTCTATTTCGTATTTCTTTAGGTTTAAATGTGTAATAACGGTGATTTAATAACTGTTTAATATCGGTGAAAGTACACAAATGTTGTAAAATGAAACAAAGCCGCTGGACGTAGGTTCTCGGGATCCTCCAAAAAGTTTATTGAAAAAGTCTCAGTAAATAACCACCATTTTACTGAGTTTATGTTTCATCCCATATCATTTCATTGAAATTCATACCAATTGATTAATATTCGATGTTCCCAATTAATCAACTTCATTTCATTTCATTTTTAACATTTAAAAAAAAAGAAGAGAATAGGCAGTATGGTATGATACATCTGCCTTTTCAGTTGGAAAAATAGTACTACCACTACTGATCTGTCACTGTCAATCAATCAAACTAACTCGGGCTTTCACGTACGATACTAATTTTGTTTAATTTTTTTTTTAAATATGATTTATTGCCGAGGATAAAATCAAGCGAAGTGATATGGTACGCTGACTGTTAGATTGTGTGTGGTATTTAAATGCTTTTTATATAGTTATTGTCTGTATTTGTAATAAGTCGTAAAATGGAACAAGACGATGAGATCAAATCCGGTTGTTTACTATTTCCCCCTGCAGGTGGAAATGTGTTTAGCAAATTTCCAAAAAAGGTAATACAATAATTGATTCATTAATAATCTTATTAACTTAACAATGTGAACTAAACACGTAATTTTTCGTAGCACGCGGTCATAAAACTGATTATGACTCACAATGAAAGTATTTGCCTTTTTTTTTTCAAATACGAATAATTGTTTTTAAACCAAGATTTCTTTATGTAATAATGAATTTTATGTGGCTTACAGAAAACTTGGCAACAAAAATATTGCATACTTTTCAATGCCAGCAAACAGGGTATTGAAAGGCTCGAAATATATGATAGTAAGGACGAAGTCCTCACTGGTGCCATACCGAAAATAATAACGCTCGAGAATTGCATAAAAATAACTCATTCTAGTCCAAATACTATAACAATACTTACAAAATCTGCTACACAACAAGTATGTGCGCCATCTGAACCTGAAACATTGGAGTGGGTTACAGCATTGCAATCGGTGGCTTTTAGAGGTAGAGATTCCAATCCTATAAGTTGTGATGAAGACAATGATCTCTACTGTTCCTCTGGTGAGGGTATATTCTCAGTAAAAATGTGTACATCAGATGCATCAACAAGATGTGGTTTTGAGCCCATTAGATATCTACTTCTTCTTACATCCATTGCCATAGAGTTGAGAGACGTAAATGATAACAAGTTGTATGCTACATGGCCATACAGATATATAAGGAGATATGGATATAGACAGGGTAAATTTACTTTTGAAGCTGGAAGGAAATGTGATACTGGTGAGGGCATCTTCCACTTGGAGCATCCTAATCAATCAGAAATATATAAATGTTTATCATTAAAAATGAAAACAATGAAACAGATGATTGGTAGTGAAAATTTGAATAGCCCAGAACACAGTGAATTTAATATTCAATCCAGTGCAAATCTATTTCCTGGTTCGAGAAGTCCATTGGTGGCTGCAAGACCAGATGATTTAAATTTGAGTTCTCTGTCTTTTAAAACAACATCAGTATCAAGTCAGCAGAGTATTTGCACTGAGAGAGATATAGTGCCTTTATTAATGCCGAAACCAGCTCTTAAACCCAAACCACAGAAACCGCCGCGTAAGATTATCAACCTTCTTAAACCAGTAAATAAGGAAGTAAACAGTAATGATGAATGTACAGATTTTGGTAGATATAAGAAACTTGACAACTACGAGCCTATTGATCAAGTGAAACGAGATCTTAGCCCCACAGTGCCATATGACAAAGTAGAAGTACGCAGTGAAGCATGGAGAACATTTGGAATTGAAGATCCGGATCACCAAGAATTTGCACCTAATCTGAGTGATAGTTCACAATGCTTAAAACTAATATCAAGATCACAGGACAACTTGAACAGTACTGGAGCAGAATCTTCAAGAATCATCCTCCTACCTAGTCCTGCTGTAGATCCTGAAGATGAAAACTACGATAGATTGCAATACTTTGGTTCTACAAGTAAATTGAATAAGTCTTCAGGCTATAAAAAAATCGAAGCCCGTCCCACTACGTTGACTTTGAGTGAGGCCAAACATAAAGATACGTGGAATGATTATGACGAAGTTGAAAATGTGATGCAAACAGCAAGATTGGCTGATGATTCTCACTTAGGGTATGGCATGATCAGAAAGCCTAATACTCCTGGTCCGCAAGTGCCAACTGCAGCTCAGGTACAAGTCTTACAGAACCAAGTAGGTTTGGATGAAGTAAACCACAACAATTGTAATGGAACAGACTATGCTATTGTGAGCCGTTCAAAACGAGTATGACACAGTTAAACAAGACTGATTTCTACATGTTTATACATTTAATCACCTTTCTATGTTAGAAAATTACTTTGATAAATGACATAATTATTTAGGCCAATTGTAATCGAAATTATTGTGAGACTGTAATCCGTATTGCATTCCATTTATACATTCTATTAATTTAATTAAGGATCTGATATATTAATCATGCAGTGTGTTTTAATTTTTAGATTTAAAGGCAACTAGGAGCTTGAAAGCTTACTGCAAATCTATGAGTAAGAAGTGAGTTAACTGTTAATAAACTGAAAATGTACTGTATTCATAATGCAATTACGATTGCTTAAAGTACGGTTTTTTTAAAAGTCATGCTTGTTAATTCTGTCGGCATTTTATTATTACAGATTATTGTTAAGTAATTCTTGTGCCTTGTATATGTAGAATTTATACAATATTATGGGAAAGATATGTTTTTAGTAAAAGAACAATTATTAATTTTTTTAAATAATATAGTACATAAATTTTGAAGAAGAATGATGCTGGGTTATTGAAAGTGCTAACCGATTGTTAACCTTAATTTGGCCTGACCAAAAAAATACATAACCTTTTTCTTTTCTCAACTCAAGAACTGTCTTTTAAATTGTCAGAAAGGCTAATTATGATCTATGTAGTCTGTTTTAAACTTACTGAAAGCACTTCTTTCTCTTAAATAAGTGATTACCATTTGGTGCCAATATACATTTGAGAATTTTTTATCTATTTAAGGTAATATTAAAGTATTAAGGGTCGATTCGACCAAACAAGAGTAAATCTTATTCTTAGAATAACTCGTCAGTTAATCGAGAGTAAATCAATTTTACGTTTTACCAACTACAATTCTAAGAATAGTGGGCCTATTCGGGAATTGTTACTATACCGCCGTTTCGCACGGAATAACGGAGCTATTCCTAGAATAAAGTAATGGCGTCTGTCAGTCCAACATCTGATTTCTGTCATTTCATAAATATTTATTCTGTTTTAATTTCAAGTCAACGCAATGCACTAAATGATTATTAATAGTCTGAATGCAACGTTTAAACGAAAAAAGATAAAACCACACGACAAAACTTGACAATTCCCTCAAACAAACAAGAAATAAAAATAATACGTTTGACAGCTGGATATCTTACACAACAGCTACTTTTTCACACTAAAATACGGCAAAATCGAGTTGACGATTTGTATGCTCTTACACTATGCCGTTGAACAACAACATTTATTTGCCGGATTTTATTTTTGTTCACCATTCACTCTGCTATTCGCGTATTGTTATTCCTAGCGCAAGTATACGTGGAAAAACGACTATGAATTTACTCGAGATTAAAATCATGGAATAGGTTATTCCTCGTATAGTTACTCGAGTTTAAATTTAAGTTTGGTCGAATCCGCCCTAAGTACATTCAGTAAGATTTTAATAAAATATTTTTTATAAATTTTCATGTATTAAAGGAATTTTTGAAATACATTTTCTATTTCTATTTTTAAGCCATATTTTTGTGATCTTCTAAACTTAAGAGACTAAGACAATAAAATAGATTTGTTAAAATTTGTTTATTTTTTTCAAAAATGGAAGTTGTGATTATACAAGTTTTTTATTAATATTGTAGAAGGACAGACTTGTCACCACTATGCTGGTATTAAGTCATCACAAGAGTCAAAGATATAATAATATCAATGCCAAAATTAAGACATGAGATAGGTTAAAAATGTATTTTTTATGGTTTTCTCTATTTTCGAAACTTGTATTCATGGCTATTTCATAGTAGAATGCATGCTAATAAACATGCCTTTTTTTCAATTAATGTTACTTACAACTTATGTATAAAACAAATTAGGTTCATTAGAAGAAATAAAAAAGAAAAGAGTAACATAACAAATATTTAATTAAATATCACATCAAAATTACACAAGAAAAATACCAATTTCAAAAGATAATAGCAATGAAAAACAAAATGTTATTTTAGAAATAAGGCCTTTTCAGGAGTATCTGCTTCTTTGACTAATTCCGTAGCAATGAATTCTAGGTCTGTGGACATTATTTTCTGTACTGTTTCACCTTTTTCAGCCATGATGTCTTCAATGTTTTTTTTACCTTCCATATCCGAAAACCAATTAAGGTTATCTGCTATCAAATGTTTATTTTCGCATCCGTGACATATCACTATAACAACACCCTTGTAATATGCCAGTTTCGTAATAATTTTACTATTTCTTGTGTTACATTTCTTACAAGTAAACATTAGTTGGAATTTTCCTTCAGTTTTCTTCTGTTCTGCTGATAAAACTTCATTTAACTTTGTTGTTGTCGTGCTGAAAAGCCTCGGAGACTGTATTTTTGGAGTTGAAGTTGATAGGGGAGCCGCCGATATTATTAAACGCCTTCCGAAGAATGAATTGCCACTGCTAGGGAAATAAACAATGTTGTTGAGTAAACGTGGTTTGTGGAATTTCACAACGAAATCTATTAAAGTTCTAGTAGTCATCTTAATTTTCCCTTTTAAACTCAAAGTAAAAATTATTACAAGTTTCACAATATTATTATTAAAGTGTAATTATTTATCATGCTCTAAATTCTAAATTAATATTTGTTCGTTCAAGTTTCAGTGTTACAGCTGGTTTTTTTTTATAATTTTTTACTGGCTTGAAAACAAAGTCCTTTAAGCCAAATCAGTTTTTTCTGTTTCTTCATCACTTCATTTCACAATAATTATATTGATTTATCACTGTGTTTTTAATGAATTCCTATAAAGTTACGAAGCACTTTGGGTTGTTTAATAGTTCGTCCAAGCGGGTGGAGACATTAGATAAAATATCGCACATATCACTCCATATTGAATTGGGAACACTTATACATTAAATGGCTTAAATCACAAATGTCATTCGAGTTGCAGTATGTAGGTACATCTGTCATTTCCTTTAATATTCAATTTTGCTAAAAGGCTTATTACACTTGGCTAAATTTATTGCCTTGAATTCAAAGAAGCAAGTTAGAAGCTTCTGATTACACTGTTCTAAATTCAGCTACTAAATCAATTGCCAGTTTAAGCGCGACGAAGTTGGACGTGTCAGGTGTGTAAGAGGATGGCCCCAGTATTGTCACACAGCCGCTAAGTTTGCGAATGAATGTATGACGGCCCTTCACCCTTCATATTCGTACATTGTACGAATGTTTGCGCGCATGTGAGTGACCGGCATTAGTGTTGTTCGAATCCATGATTAAGGTACGCTACACAGTAGACGTCACGAATTATGAAAATGGCCAAACATCGAATGTGTGGGAGACTACACGAATAATCGCGGTTCGCGTGCTTTGATGTCCGTTGAAAAACCGACACAGCTTGGAAAACCACGAATGCAGCGAAAACTTTGCATAATCATTTGCAAATGTCATCCTACACTTGCGGGTTTGCGTATTCGTGCGAATGTGAGTGACCGGTATAAGGTGATGGAGTTCATTGAACTCCTGCAAAATGAATCGACCATATGGGACCCTCAAAAGAAATCCCATTAAAACAGAATGGCTAACGGCCAAGGGACGCCTGGGAAAGAATTAAAAACTCCCTTTCTCTTCAATGTTCTATTGGTGAATTAAAAAAGAAGAGAAATTCGTGAGACATTCGTAAACAAGTGTGGGAGGAAGCGCAAACGGGTTCGCAAATTGAGTACCGAACCCATTTAGACAGCCGCTAAGTTTGCGAATGAATATATTATGACGGCCCTTTACATGCGCGCAAACATTCGTACAATGTACGAATATTTGCGCGCATGTGAGTGATCGGCATTAAAGTAATAATTTTACGTATTTGGAGTAGGGCTTTAAGTAAGAACCCAATAGTCTGTTGGGAAAAATAAATAAAAAAGTATAATATGACGTATGTCAAGTGGAATATAACCTTAAATTTCATTCAAGAATCATCTGATTGGAAACATTACACACTGACCTAGGAACGTACCAATAAATTTGAAACTAAAATTTTAGTGTTCACTCTTCAATCTATACATAAGTCAAAAGATCACTGATTAAATTTTAGGTTGTATGACCAGTAAAAGCTATTTGAATGTAATTTTAAACTGATTCTATTTGTAAATCAACCATGAATTCGATTTGGTTCAAGCCTGAACTTGCGGAGGAAATAATAAATAACAATGAAATATTTGATCAAACGCAAAATGTAGTTACTGGTATGTGAAATTTGTTTTCTAAAGATTTCTTTTCCATTTGATTAGTGAAACAGTCAAATTATACCTACATTTTAACCATTAAATCACAATGTATTTACAATACAAATGATTATTTACACAGCTTTTCTTGTTCATTTCCTGTCTGCATAATTATCACATAAGTCGAAAATAAGACTAATTTGATTGGAAAATCTCCTTTTGCTTTGTTTACTAATATAAATTGAAAATAAAATGGAAATTTTATTATGTTTTGTAAAAAATGTATTAGGGCCATATATGTAACATCCACTCGCTTCTATAGCTCTACCAATCTTTCATTAAAATATTGTTAAACAAAAATAAAAAAACAAGCTTTTAAATGGAGTACATGATATCATGAATTATTTTTCAGATATAATAACTCAACATATAGACCTAATAACTTTAGTTGAAAACATGGAGGGTATTTTAACCAATAAAGAACCAGAAAGTCGTGAAAAAGGAATGAGATTCTTCACAAAAATCCTCACAGAGCTACCGAGAGACTATTTAACTGTGTCACAAGTTAAATTCATATCAAAATTTTATATTGACCGGTTAAAAGATAATCATAGAGTAATACCGGCAGTCTTACAAGGTTTTTCAGCTATTATTGAAATGAAGAATTATGATATGGAAACTAGTGGAGAGTTTTTTTCGTTGCTTTTCAGAGAGGTTAATTGTCAGTCCCAAACAAGACAGGATCGGTATAATATTTATTTTATTGTTAAGAAATTGATGGAAAAAGATATAAAATGTAAGTAAGTTCTAAAATTACAGATATACAATTGATGTTATGAAAGTGTTAATATTGAAATATCAATCATTTAATTATTGATGATGATGATGTATAGATAAACAATATACTATGGAACATAAGTTGTAGTAGTAAATTGTAATAGACTTTGGCTCAGTCAAAATAGTGTAGCAGCATGCTTCATTTTTATGAGCTGCAATCTTATAGGTCTTCTGATTTGAAGACGTTATCAGAGTGTAAGAATACAACAACTTCAATCATGCTACTTACATTGAGTACACACGAGTAGGATGTATTTCAGCTGTTTTATACTTGAAAATGAATGTAATTAATTACCTATAAAATATTTTTATCTAATGTTACAGATATGAAATCTCTTGGTCCAGATTTCGTATATGGTTTCATAGCATCAATGGATGGAGAGAGAGATCCGAGAAACCTGATCTTTCTCTTTAATTTCCTACCAGAATTCATACGTGAAATACCACTGGGGCATTTAGTCGAGGAAATGTTTGAAGTTATTTCCTGTTATTACCCTATTGATTTTCATCCCGCTCCTGATGACCCAGCACCGGTTACAAGGCAGGATTTGGCTACAGCTTTAAGTCCTTGTTTGTGTGCAATACCAGAATTTGCGGAACATTGCTTGGTCTTATTGGTTGAGAAGTTAGATTCAAGTTTAAGGTTGGCCAAACTTGATTCATTGAGACTATTGGTTAGTTTCACTCTAAATTGTGTTTTTAATGGTCTATTTATTAGTCTAATATCATGTTTAGGACCAACTAAATTAGGAATGTCTGGATATTTTGTTTGATTGTATATAGAAGTAGTAGTAATGAGTAATTGACAGAGAACCAACACATCACCAATTTTTTTATTTTATTGCTTAGATTGGTGAACGAGCTCACGGCTCACCTGGGTCTAAGTACTTACCGGAGCCCATAGACACGTAAATGCCGCCACCTACCTTGAAATATACGTTCTAAGGTTCCAGTTTCTACAGTGTAACGGCTGCCCCACCCTTCAAACCAAAACGCGTTACTGTTTCACGGTAGAAATAGGCAAGGTGGTGGTACCTACCCATGCGACTCACAAGACGTCCTACCACCAGTAAACATCATGACAATCGCAGTGTATTGATGCCACAATTTAAATAATATATAATATGACTTTAGATAAGTGACTGTTTCATTATAGTTTGTATTTATAGATTTGGTTTCATTGAAATACCAGTTAACATATTATAGCTTTAAATAATAAATATTTAACAGTAATGAAATATCGACGTTATTAAAATCATCATTTTATTTTGCATTTATGTCTAATTAGTATTATATTTTTCAATTCCAGACGGATAGTTGTAAAATTTTCAAACCTGAATCATACACTCCATTTCTGAAAACGTTATGGTCATCAATCCAAAGGGAAATATCACACAAAGCCGATGAAGAACTGAAATTTGCCGCACACGAGGCCTTATCCGCTTTAGTGTCAATACTATCAAGGACTGCTAACGCAGACCAAGCATTCGAAAATTTCGTCAAAGGAATTCTTATATCCATGCAAACAGCTGTTGCGGAAGCCACCACTGTAGCCCAATTTGTACATGCAACCAAAGTTTTACTAACAGCTGCGAATGGTTCCAAAGAATCATGTGCTATAATAACCAAAAGCATGATACCGGCAATATTAGCTTATTACGATTTTAAAACGTCTCCAAAATTGCAGATCGCTAGTCTGGACTTTTTAGGGGATCTGTATGATTTGGCCAAACATTGGGATGTACTGGAACAAACAGCGGTTCAAGTCAATGAATTACCGCAGTTGTGTTTGACGGTTGTCAGTCAACCGATTAAAGATTTCCAAGTTGCCGGCTTTAGAACATTAATTAGAGTTATGAATGTTTTACAAACAGACCTTGTAGTGCCTTTTGTTGAGGTTTTAATGTACAATGTTCAACATTCTCAAGACGATGAACTCTTGAAAGTCAGCATTGAGACTATTCACGCAATAGCGAAAAAATATCCAGAAATAATAATGCAGCTGGTTGTCACAGGAAGATGTGATATAGAAAATTTGACGCAAGACAAAACTGCTTTGATCAAAAGACTGAATTTGCTCTCCAATTTAGCCAGTATCGATGAATTCACTAAAGTAATCATAGAGGAAATGCTAAAAGTAGTGTCAGCGCATGACGAAGAGTCTCCTAAAGTGATTGAAGCTTTGAGCGAATCAATGTCAGATATAAGTTTGTTTACAGAGAAAAAAATAACTGAAATTGATAGTGATCATGGCTTGGTAGACTCAGTTGTTGAATGGATATTAAGAGAGATAAATAATTCGGTGGATGTGTCAAATGGTTTTGTTTTAATTGCTAATACAATTGCAAGCTTACCAGCTGATAAACAAAGAAATTTACTAGCAAAACATACAGATAATATATTAGACAAATGTAAATATAATGATAAATATTATTTAATTTTAGAAAGTTTGTACATATCTGTTCATCAGACCGTATATGAATCGAGTTTTGATGATATAATGAAGCTATCTCTAGAGTTAGCTTTGAATAGTGAATTGGACAGCGTCAGAACGAAAGCTTGTATTTTAGTGGCACATTTTCTTAACAAAGCTGAATTTGGTCAGAAGTTTGAGCTTTTTTATGAATTATTAAAGAATTATTTGACGAATTGTAGTAAAGATGATGAGGAGTTGTGTCCTAAGTTGATTCTGTTATATGGATGGATTACAAAAGCTTTGATTTTAAGAGGCAGCGATACATTTCTGTTTTGGCTCCAAAAGGTAAGATTTTTTATTGCATAGATGGGTGGACGAGCTCACAGCCCACCTAGTGTTAAGTGGTTACTGGAGCCTACAACGTAAATGCGCCTCCAACCTTGAGATATAAGTTCTAAGGTCTCAGTATAGTTACAACGGCTGCCCTACCTTTCAAACTGAAACGCATGCTTCACAGCAGAAACAGGCAGGGTGGTGGTACCTACCCGTGCGGACTCACACGAGGTCCTACCACCAGAAAAATATATTTGTTTGAGTTGTAAGGTTGACCGTGTTATTAAGAAAAACTAACTATGTAACTTATTTTTATGGCAGATTTTGAGGTTACATTATTCCGAGAAGTAACCTGAGCTCTCATAAATATAGATTTTTACTTATTTATTGACGGATGGGTGAACACGCATCCGCCCCCTGGCACTTACACTGAGATTTGGTTGTAAATTACTTATTTCTCTATCGTTGAAGTCGTTACTAAATATATATGGCGGTAGTTCTTTTTGACGTTCAACAAGACGTGTGTACTTTCATTTATGTTGAATAAAAAAATAATATATTTGATTGATTTCATTATGTTGAGTATGTATACCTTAAAAAATAATAGGTACCACCCCCCAGCATAGTATATACACCACATTTCTCATATTTTAAGCCACGACGACTTCCGGATATTGGAATAATGGCAAAATTTATATGATTTTTATTAATCTTCACCAATGACCAATTTTGCTAATTGAAACTATTGTGAAATCTTTATTTTTCAGATTGTAAATACATTATCTAATACACAATACAGTAAACAAGGATCTGAAGCTATCAAACTGATAATGTCTGACAGCCCTAATTATTTATCGAGCAGGCAACACTGCCGGACCAGTTTATTGTACAGGCAAAGAATGTTCCAGAATTTCGCGAAGCTAACCCACAAGTTACCGCCTCTAGAAGGTGCAGCGAATGAATCGTATCTTCTTAGTTGGGCGTATGTATTTGAGAAGACTCCGAAAAGTGTACTTAATAATGAAACTACAAAGGTTTGTTTTTTTGTTTTTATTATTACCTGCATACCTGACATTCGAAAGATGTGTAATAGTCACTTGTAGTTAATATTTTGATAACATTGTACACATCCGCCCGATCCACTAACGGTGCATTTAGGTACCCCATAATTAAATTAAAAGTTAATTAACCCTCAGACACAGCCCACTGAGTTTCTCGCCGGATCTTCTCAGTGGGTCGCGCTTTCGATCCGGTGGTAGATTCTGCGAAGCACGGCTCTTGCTAGAGTCAGTGTTAGCAACGTCGTCAGGTTTGAGTCCCGCGAGCTCACATATGTACTAATTCGGCGAATCTAGAAAAACCCCTCGAGTTTACTAGAACACTGTTACTAAAAAATGAAGTACTAAGTTAACACTCGATGCATAGTTATGAGTCAAGGATCATTCAGTCATCAAGTTAAGGATTATTTAAATTGAAACCTAGTGTCGCCCACCTGATGGTGAGTGTATAACGTCGCCCGTGGACATCAATAATGCCAGGAGCACCAATAAGTCGCTGCCTACTAAATGATCATCGTAACATAATTTACCTAAGCATTGCGTATGAGAGAAGGATATGAAGGGTGTGTGTTGGTGAGCGTCCGACACCCTTTGCCCTTGAGCAAGGGTGACTACTTACCACCAGATGGACCGTATGATCATCTGCCATCAATCGCAAAAGTAAACCCCCAAAGTATTCGTCCCTATGAGACCATGAGAAACCGCGTGTCAGCTGCTTTGATTTACATTACATTGCTTGCATTTAAAAAAAATCTATCGTGACTTTTCAATGTTATTGATTTAATAATCACTAGTATTGCCTACCTGTCTCAGAAACATTGAGCAATGTGAACATAACGGTAAGCAGTAGGTTGGCTCTGCCCTGGCATTGCTGATGTCCATGGGCGACAGTAACAATTTACCATCAGGTGGTATGTTCGTCTGCCTACAAGGGAAATAATAATAATACTCGTGTCACGACTCTTTTCTACTGTAAATTATTTATTTATTAACTTCCACTGCATCGTACGTATTAAACATAAAAACAAATTATTGTGTAGAATTTTGTAAGTATACATATTTATTTATTTATTAGGCCCACAATACACATCACAAGCTTAAAAGATACATAAAAACACAAGTAAAAAGAAACAAAATCTGGCTTGCAACATAATAATAGTAATATTTTTTTTATTTCATTACAGATTACATCAATAGCGATAGATTCGTTAGACTATGAAAACAAAGACTTACTCCTTGTGATGATCGATGTTTTATGTTATTTCGTGCAAGCGAAAAACGCCGTTATCTCTGGCAGCTTACAGACCATTTTACCGAGGCTAGTGAAATTGTCTAGATACGTCAAATCAATGGTGAGTTCGCTGAACTTTGTCTCCACTGCATCTTCTTAGATCGCGGAAATTGAAAGATTTTTACTGGTGGTAGGACCTCTTGTGAGTCCGCACGGGTAGGTACCATCGCCCCGCCTATTACTGCCGTGAAGCAGTAATGCGTTTCGGTTTGAAGGGTGGGGCAGCCGTTGTAACTATACTGAGACCTTAGAACGTATACCTCAAGGTGTGTGGCGCATTTATGGTGTAGATGTCTATGGGCTCCAGTAACCACTTAACACCAGGTGGGCTGTAAGCTCGTCCACAAATCTAAGCAATAAAAAAATATATATATTAAAGATCAAAAAACATTCTTATTGCAATGAAAATTGCGCGAAGTTGGAATAGCTACTAAAGATTTAGGATTTTGTCATAGATTTAGCCTTTAGGGTAGGTTAGCCTTTAGTAGAGAAAAAAAAAAAGATTAAAATCGATTATATATAACATACACAAAAAATAACGAGTATAAAAAAACTGGCTTTCAACATAAGCCATGTGCGCACGACTAAACAAGACAAATGTGCTGAGTTTGTACATAACGTTATAAATAATGCAATAAACATTAAAGAATTACACTACTTAATCTACTATTAACATGTAGGATTCCTTTGAACATTTTTATAAAGGTCACCAACTTACAAGTAAATATATCCAACTCAGTTAACGACTTTGCCAGTTCATTATAGATGCGAGATCTTCGGGTAATTGGAATATAATATGATATATTGTTTTTGCAAATTAATAATGATATGGATATAATGCGCTACTAGAGTTTCGCACCTCAAACATCGGTCACCGTCCTCGTCGAACCCGTCGCTTGCGACGAAGGCTCGACGAGTAAATTAACCCGCAGACACAGCTCACTGAGTTTCTCGCCGGATCTTCTCAGTGGACCGCGTTCCGATCCGGTGCTAGATTCTGCGAAGCCCTGCTCTTACAAGGGTTCGTGTTAGCAACGTCGTCAGGTTTGAGCCCCGTGAGCTCACCTATTAGTTAAGGTTCCGCTGAAATAGCCTCTCAAGGCTATCAGCTTAGGTAGAAAAAAAATTTAATAAATGAATTTAGCTTTGATTTTTGTATTTCTTTTAAGTTTATAATATAAGGTCCTTTTTTCTAGCTAGTGCTAGCGACACACCCGGTTTAAGCCTCGCGAACTCACTTACTAGTTCGGTGAATCTAGAATAATCCCTCGAGGTTACTAGAATAGGTAGGAGAACAAAGAAAAGTTTCTCTTAAAGGATTATCCTGCTCGTCTGACCTCGAAGTTAAAAATAGGAACCGCTAACGTCATCCCCGTTCGCATCATCGTTAATTACCGAATTCCTTTTCTTTTGCAGGACGTCAGAATAAAAAGTTTAGAATGCCTTTACGAGATTGCGAATTCGTATCGCACGTCAACGCTTTTGCCGCACAAACAGGACATTTTATTTGATTTAGCGCCATCTCTTGACGACAAAAAGAGGCTGGTACGCAACATGGCCGTCAAAGCAAGAACCCGCTGGTTCATGATTGGTGCGCCAGGCGAAGACAAACCTAATTAACCAATCAGGGTTGAGATAATGACAAAAATTATTGTTGTTTTAAAATAATGTTATGACTATTTGTTTTAATTTCGAAAATTTGTGTAGTTTGTGATACTAGAAGATTAACAAATTTGTTAAAATCATACTTATATACATATATAATTTGTAACTTATGCTATGATAATTTATGGAAGATTAGAAAATGGAATTTTAAACAAAAAAAACTTGCAAGCAGATCTGAAAGAATATCTAAATAAATACAATATTTCTTCGAAAGACTCTGTGAATATTGTTTTTATTTGAATAAATTTAGTATGGATAAATCTAAATAAGAAAAATCATCGACCTAGAAACTATAGGAAGTGTGGTCACCAAAAAAATCTTAAAAAATAAATATACTTTTTTATTAAAATGTCTTTTATTATTTTGAACTAATTAATACTCGCGTGAGACAATAACTGTCTGTGTTTTTAGTCAACTTTGAAAAAAAACCTTTATTGCTGACTGCTATTCTGTTTGTGGAGAGCGTTTTTTAGTAATGATCCAGTTATTTATTAATTGCACGATATCTCTTAACTATCCTTATGACACCCCATTATCCGTGTCATGAGTACATAGAGTAGGAAGTATTGTGACCTCACCAGACGGTGATACGCATCCAGCGAAGTAACGTCCCCAGCTTAAAGGCGTTATTGTTATCTTATCTTTGTTATCTTTACTGGTGGTAGGACCTCTTGTGAGTCCGCAAGGGTAGGTATCACCGCCCTGCCTATTTCTGCCGTGAAGCAGTAATGCGTTTCGGTTTGAAGGGTGGGGCAGCCGTTGTAACTATTCTGAGACCTTAGAACTGATGTCTCAAGGTGGGTGGCGCATTTACGTCGTAGATGTCTATGGGTTCCAGTAACCACTTAACACCAGGTGGGCTGTGAGCTCGTCCACCCATCTAAGCAAAAAAAAAAGAACTGTCGCAGAGAATCTCTTCTTCATCTTCAGCCTGTGTCCATCTAATGATGAGTATAGGTCTACAGGCTACATATGCTCTCCGTTATTTTCGGTCTCTTGCCTTGCGCGTCCCGTCCTTACCAACTATTTTGACAAGGGCGTTGGTCTACCTCATTGGCTGTCTGCCCACGGTACGATGTCCAGTACGAGGTCTCCGCTGAAGTACTTTTGTGCCCCACCGATTGTCAGTACAACGCTATATCGCCGGCCCACTTCCACTTTCTCCGAGTAATCACTTTGGCTATGTCAGTCAAATCAGTTCATCTGCGAATTTCGGTATTACGCACCCCATCCCAAAGAGAAATTCCTAACATAGTTCTAACTCTCTTAACTTCTTATTAAAAGCCGAGCAGACTATATATAAGATACTCTTAGCTTTTTCTTCAGAAATTATGCAAAAATTCAAGTTTGTTTTGTTATTCCGAGTCGGTATTTTTATTTTTGAAGATCGCGCTTAGTTTGATTGTGTTCTAAGACCACTCTTTCGCTACATGTCTCGTATCTTAGGCGTTCTTTATTGTTTAAGGTATAGGTATCCCGGACAGTGTTGCTAACACTTTTGTCCAACCAGTAGGAGATCGAACACGTGGTCTTTTCAAATCGACATGGTTACTAACAGTATTTCGAGATTGTCGGGATTTTTGCAAGTAGTGTGACCAAAGTTGCAAAGTTTGCGTCCCGAACAGATTGCAGACAGCCTAGCTGTTGTCCAGAGCTCTTTGTCATTGGACAAGTTTCTTCAACGCGCGGTCCGTGCAATGCGTAACATATGTCCCCAATACCAGAACACCGAAAATGCCTCGATTTTCGATCTATCTGTCCTTAGTATCGTCCAGTTTTTAGTGTGTGGGTCATTAGAACCTTATTATGCGCGATAATTCGGTGACGAGCATCAACGGTGGGCAATGTCTCAAGGTATGCCATATCAGCAGTTAATTGTTTGAATATGAATCCAATAAATCCTCAGCTATGCCGCTAATGCGAAACTACGGGATTAGTCCGACAAATCTCTGGCCACTAACAATTTGATTCAATTTGCATAATCTCTTATCGCGTTCGAAGCGTTTGGCGCACTTAAAATGGTAATGAAGGCGAGCCCTTCGCACCGGCTTTTTATGCCCAATGTAGGGCGCAGAATGGAAGAGTTAAGATAAATGTTTTGACAGGTTATAAATTAAATGCGATTGAAATGGAAGATTATGCAAATCGCCCGACGGTTCGTTAAATGGAATTTATAGTTTGAATTCTGATTGGGTATAGGCATCGTCTTTGACGTTTAATAAAGGACCATTCGACTGTCGTTTTGACTATCGAAGTTGTAGTGGTGTTAAGAATAAGACGTCCGCTGTATTCGTGTAGAGCTATGCCGGCGTTCAAATCCCGCTGGTAGATAGGTACTATTTTTTCTAATTAAATACGCACTTAATTATTTGAGCGCGAACCGACGATAGATCGATTGCGACTCTATTAATGCATATAAAATGCGGAGCGTCGAAATACCGACTATTGCTATAGTCTGATTATATGTATTTAGGTATCGACCTGTACGGACTTACGTAAAATATATAAAAAAACCATTTAATATGATTTTGCTGTGAATTTACCTTTGATTTTTGTATTTATTTTAAGTTTTTTTCTTAAGGTCCTTTTCTTTTCAAAAAATCTTTAGCAAGTTCTACAGAATATATAAAAATAGGCTAACCACTAAAAGGCTTAACATTTGTTCACGAACGACTTCCGTGCTGAGGGGATAACATCGCCTAATAATAAAAATCCAATCCGCATTATTTATAAATTGGTGTAATTGCTGATGACTGGTACGCTCGCGCCAATATGTAACGCCATTGTCCCTTTTAATGCAGAACAAACAGGAAGAGTGACGTTACATTGTAGTTCGAATCTCAGGCGGGTACCAATTTTTCTAATGAAATACGTACTTAACAAATGTTCACGATTGATTTCCACGGTGAAGGAATAACATCGTTTAATAAAAATCAAAGCCCGCAGAATTATAATTTGCGTAATTACTGATGGTAGGACCTCTTATGAGTCCGCCTATTGACCCTGCCTATTTCTGCCGTGAAGCAGTAATGCATATCGGTTTGAAGGGTGGGACAGCCTTTGTAACTATACTGAGATCTTGGAACTCATATCTCAAGGTGGGTGGCGGTATTTACTTTGTAGATGTCTATTGGCACCAGCAACCACTTAACACCAGGTGAGCTGTGAGCTCGTCCACCTATCTAAGCAATAAAAACAAAAACAAAAATCATGCGTCCCAGTTTGTGCTTTGGAACAGCCGATGCATCAATCCAATAGATCTATACAACTGTGACTCAAACTGGGTAGTTTCCAGGTTGTTATAACACATGTTTTTGATAGTCTTATCATAGGCTTCTAAATCGATAACTAATTTTGTATAAGACCGTACTCAAACAACGTCTAATGAAGATACGTTATGATGTTTATGATATGATACATCAGTTAATATGTAGCAATAAACAGTCGTCGCTCGTGACGTTGGGACGTGAATTTAAATTGAATCATCAACGGGCGGATTCGTCCGTTTAATCCTGCGTGGTCCGAGGGGCGTTCGACGCGTAATTTTCACGATTATCCGACCGGGACCCATCCTCGGACCGACGTTAGGATACGCATTCAAACGGAGATCTCGTTTAGTTTCGCAAGTGGGCCGTATTTAGAAAATAATTCGCTTTATTTTCACATTCGTGTTTCGGAGAATAGGATTTTTTAACACTAAAAGTCCGACTGGCGGGGCTTTTGTGAGTTTTTGTGTGTTCGTTGTTCCGGGCTGTTGGCGAAGAAGATATTGAAATGATGTTAACATTGATTTGTGTGAGGTTTTAATATGAAAGCGACACAATAACTAACATAAAATACAAAAATGAGCTGAGAACCGTACAGTTGAACTAAGACTCGCAATATTTTACTGGTCGTCGTCGCGCGCGCTGAGGGCGTGTGTTTTCGCGCTCCGAGAGCTCTGTCTCAGCGGGGGTTAGGGCGGCGGCGGGGCGGTATCGCACGTTCGGAAATTTCGTTCCGTTATAATTTGGCATTGTTTTTCACATGTGATCACGGTACAGTTCTTAAGTGATCATCTTGCTGAGGTAATACACGTGAATGCCACAAACCAGTCTGTAGTTCAAAAGTCTGATATGATACAAGCCTTTAATGACTTTGAATTTTGTATGTAATGTGTTTTTAAGTCATATGCCCACCAGCAAAGTTATAACCACTGTAATCTTACGCATTTGAATGTTTACTTACTGGTTTAGTTTGAATGAAATAACGGTTTTAACGTAAACGTGACCTGAATCGATATTCAGGATTGGCTTCAGATAGGAAAACTTTAAGAGTGTCAACAGCACGAATCCAAATGCGAATCTTGTGAACGCATTTTATGTTACGATGATTTTAAATTTTGCCTGTTAAAGTTTAGCCTGTTTACTGTTATCTGATTAAGCTCCGGATTCGAGAATTATTCGATGGTCAATAGCACAAATGTGAAGTATTGTTGAATTCAGTTATGAACGCATTCAATTATGTCTACCCATTCTAAGTATTAGGTACCAATAAAAGGGTGATTTTTAAAAGTTCTGGATATTTTTTTTTTAACAAGCTATGTCTGTTTCGTGCCTAAACAATAATATGTACTGTCTGTTGTTTTTTTCTGACAGCCTGTTATTAATATATATAAACTTGATAGCACGCATTAAATACACCTCATGAGATGGACAGAGTTGCGTTAAAAAAGTTCGCGAAACAATCGCATTGTTTAAGATAACAGGTAAAAATGTTAATAAGACTTACTTATCTAATATTAGAAGGCAATCAAACATATGAACATCCTGATGGTTAATGTTAAGTGTATTTTCCGAATATCCATATCCATTGAAGACGCAGTCATAGCACGTTGTAGTTGGAGATGCATCTTCTATTAACTAGCATGATAGAAAGGCTTCGATCGTGAACAAATAAGTCTGAAGTTAGCATTCTAGGACGAACATATAAACGATGCCAAAAGAATATATGGCATTAAAATATCCCCCCCCCCCTAACCTCAAATAACAAATATTTAAAAAAAAAACTAATTACGGCGCTGCTGAACTGGATTGTTCTGAAAGAAATTAGGCTATCTCTGTGTGCAGATTAAGAGATTAGCGTCGGAATTGGATTTGTCTAGAAACGGCCGCTACAATGTTCTTTTGTTTCAGCTTTTAACTTGCAAAAAGAATTAAACACAATTATGTTGTAGTACGTTTGTGTGTGTGTGTGTGTTATTTAATAAGTACCTACTAACACATTGAAAAAGTCGTGGCCTAAAGGATAAGAGGGCCGCTGTATCCGTATCAAGGGATAC